TTAGTGCACAAATGTTGTATTATACACAGAAAATCCTGACTAAAATAAAACAGGATACTGAAATTCCAATTTCTACTTCTATTCACATGTGGCAAAATTAAACCTGGCAAACTGTTATTTTTCTTTCAGTTTCTGTCACAAATTAATTTTCGCCAAACATTTGTGTTTCACCTTCAGAAAAAAATATCCAATTCATACCTTGCAGTAAACACACAATTACTGTTTCACCTTCAGAAAAAAACATCCAATTCATACCTTGCAGTAAACACACAATTACTGTACAGTACTGTGGTCTATTTTTAATACCGACAGCAGATGTTCTGAGAGGAGGTGACAATATTTTGTGACCCAAATTTTCTGTAACTATGCAGATAAACTTTACACAATTCAAACTTTTTGAAATGAAGTGAACTCAATAATCTGCAGAGATTTCTGGGTTTTAGGATGAGGATCATAAAAATTGTGCTCTTTTAGAACATATTGTAATGTGGCCGACACTGGGATTGCTTTGGATACAATAGAACAGGAACAAATGCAAAAGACTGCAAATACAATACAAGAACTTTTTAAGCCCTTAAAAATCTACTATACATATTTCCTCTGCATTTAATCTATTTTTTTAATCGGTTGTGAAATTTATGCTGATAAAAAAATGGGATACTGTACAATTTAGTGAAGTGAGAAAATATTTAGTGAAGTGAGAAAATATTTTAATTAATTAAATTAAATTCAACAATATTTTACAAGGGTGGTCCATCCAGCCAGAGCTGATCATTAGGGACCCTCAATACTGTACATAACACAAGTCACAAAGGAAATATAAATAGAAAAACAAAGAAATTAAAATTAAAAAATAATAATAACAACCAAGTAACAATCATAATATCCATACTGTAGATAATACAGTAGACAAATTGCAATCCAAAGCAATTATTAAAACAAATTCTTTGCATAAAAATTTATTCAAGAAGCTACTAACAGTACAAGTACTGTACTACAGTATAAGTGCTACTGTACTGTACTGTATGCATGAGTGGTGTTTGCCAAGACTACAAGCCAGTGATAATTTCGCACTGCTCTTGAGTGATTACTATATGGGCAAAATATATACAGTACTTTGGAACTAATTTAATGATGCGACACATTTCATAGTGTTTTCAGTTACCTTGTTTTATCAAAAAAGGCCTATTTAAAAAATCTAATAACTGTATTACAGACAAAAAATGGACAAAATATCTGTAGAATACAACATTGTGTCAAGACAATAATCTGCTCTACTACAGTACAGGCAGGAAAAATCGCTTCGTATCTGCGTGTAACCACTCGTAGCCTGCTCGTAGGTACCGTTTGGAATGTAGCTACGAACCACTATGAAGGTCATTGTTATTTTAATTAGCTTTGCAATAATCGTAGACTGGGCTGATAATCAATGCGTAAACAATATCGAAATATAGTTTACCAGCTTTCAACGCGTAAGCAATGTTCCAATTTACTAAATAAACAATGTTAGAACTTTATTGTTTTGTTATAATTATATCCTACCTTATTATTAAATCGATCATGTTTTAAAACTGTGTTTAGTTCGCTAGCTGGGTGGGTAACCTAGTGGGCATTCAGTATGTTCGAATTTCGATGTCATTTAGGCTTACGTACGGCCTACATTTTCCCCTATAGAGGAGGAGAGCAGACAGTAGTTATACTGGTAAACTTTCCAGTTCGGAGAATTTTGATCTGATATTATTCTTCTGGTAGTAGGAATTTTCTTCTTTTAAATAATACTGATGACAAATCATGTACAAATTATTACGATTTCTACAGATCACGTTGTTTATTGTTTACCGTAATTTGAAGCAGAACAACCTGCAAAGCGATCCAATACTAAATGGAAGTATAGAAATCATTACCTTGCCGAATTAAGGCTAGTCATGCTAGACTGCATTTACTCCGTTTTTTACTCACTGTTGCTCACAGCTTTTCAACATTTGCCACGAGGTTAACCTTTAACAAACTTTACTGTGTTCTGATTGGCGCGCACTCTGACGTCTAATGCTGGCTAAGTTTTATTTTCCATTGGGTTTTCCATGTGACATTCGGTAATTTTACAACCAACGGACGTTAATTCTCCTTTATATTTACTACTGTCTCTTATACACATCTAAACAGTTCCATACTTTAAATTAACGGTCTAAACTCGTGTTTGCCATTCACAAATTATCAAACAATACATTGTTTATTCCAGTAAGCTGCAGCAGTCTTTCTGCACATACAAATAAACAACATGCTTTTGCTTCGTAGGTTCACTTCGCGTAGCCTTGCTTAGATTGTTTATATCAGGCTACGAAGCCTGCGCGCAGGTTAGATTGTTTATATCAGGCTACAATGTATCTACGAAGCCTGCGCGCAGGTAAAAGTGCAATATTTCATGACTGTACTGTACTGTAGACCCCGGTTGACTCCCCAGGTACTGTAACCTAGAGAGAGAGAGAGAGGGGGTGAACCATTTCAGCCAAGGACAAGTTCAGACTAAGGTATGAAACACATTTTGTATTGTACAGTAAGTACTGTATATGTTTCAGTGAATTTCAATAATTGAATGACTAATAACCTAATACTGACAATTACTGTATAATATAATAAATACTGTATTATTTGAATAAACGCCCCTCTAGAGCCTTATTTGGAATAAATGCCTCGCTAGAATAAATGCTCCTGGCATTTTATTTTTTCATATAAAAGCCCCTTAAAATTACTGTAAATAAATCAAATGGAAACAGCATCATTCTCAACACATTCTATTGGATGCTAAACTTCAATAGATTTACTCGTATATTTCTTTCTAAAACATGGTTGGGATTATGATCATGCAATAACACATTTTGACAGCAATTATGTGATGTACTGTAGAGGTTTCACATTTACAGTGAAATTCAGGGCGTTTCATGACTACAGTAAATACATACAGTATCCACTTTACACCAAAAAAAAATAAACACCACCCTCAAATAAACGCCTCCTGAAAAACCCTTCTCAACAATAAACACCCCGGGGCATTTATTCAAATAAATACGGTATGCAAATTGACATACAGTAAATTAATTTTTTTTAAACTGTGGGAAATGCCAGAAAAACATGTTTAAAAAAAAATTCTCACTGGTAACTACAATATGTATTACTACTAGTATCATAAGTCTATTTACTTGTATAAAAGTAAAATAGTCTATTATAATAATAAAGACAAACAAAACGCACTAAATTTCCTGATCTTCTGGATGTTAAATACATCGCGACCAAACTGGATGGCATTCGAGGGAGGCCTACCTTGGCATACCAGGGTGTCAACATTTCGTAACCCTAACTCATACTGTACATGTCAAGTTTGAGAGAAGTACTGGCTTGAAATTTTGCTATTGGAAGGACTCTAGTAGGGTCCAGGGCTCGCATATATTGTTTTGCGTAGGTGCTCCCTGGTGCAATGTAATGGTGACTCTGTCAAACTTAAACACAAAAAACACACATAACAACAGTAGTGTTTGAAAATACTGTAGTACCATAGTACATACAGGTACACGTGGGCCTGGCCTACTGTATAATATTTATTATAAGATTATACAAGATTAATTTTTTTTGCGATGAGATACGTGAAAAGCAGGAGAATGTATGTGGCTTTTGGGAGGGCTTGAGATGGGGGTCAAAAAGCTAGGGTCTCCTGCCAGGGATTATGACCGGTTGAGCCGCCGACAAGTTGAGCCGCCGGTAATTTCTATGGAACGCCAAGCGCGTCTCTCAGTGAATGTAGTGCGTTAATTGCGGCGTATTTCAATTAACTTATTCGTTCTTGGTACTGTTTTTTTGGGATGTATTTCAGTTTATTTACTCAATCATTTCAATTTATTTAATACTCGGTTTTTGCACTAATTTATTAAATATTCTTGGGACGTATTTCAATTTATTTACTTGTTCTTTCTATCGTTTTAATTTAAATTTTGTGAGTATTTGCTCAGTCAGCTTGCCAGATAGTAAAAAAAAACTCCATACATTCTTATAATTGATTATAAAGTTCTACAAATAGTACAAAAATAAAAATATATAAATTACAAAACCATAGTAAATACTGTATAATAACATAGGCCTAACACATTTAAATTTATTGTTCATAGTCATCTGTCTAATTCAGTCAGCTTGCCAGATAGTAAAAAAAAAACTCCATACATTCTTATAATTTATTATATATAAGTTCAACAAATAGTAAAAAAATAAAAATATATACTATGAACAATAAATTTAAATGTGTTAGGCCTATGTTATTATACAGTATTTACTATAGTTTTATAATTTATATATATATTTTTTGTACTATTTGTTAAACTTACATATAATAAATAATTTAATTTAACAAAATAGTACAAATAACGAATAAGTTAATTGAAATACGCGGCAAACCAAACGTAAATACACACATTTTTAATACGATTTTGCAATTCTACAACTTCATTTATTTTCATAAAAATGTAGTACATAAAATTAAAATTCTAATTTTCAATTACACAACTTATACATCACGAATGGCAATACGAGCAAATCAACGACTGACAAGACTGTGGGATGAATATGTAGCTGGTATCCGGGGCAAACCGTCTAGGCCTACATTCACTGAGAGACGCGCTTGGCGTTCCATAGAAATCAACCGGTCATATCCCCCTGCCAGATGTGGGAAACTTGGAAGGTATGCTAACTTCAACATGTCCTGACCTAGCCTAGGCCTAGTTAGGCCTGTTCTCTAGGCTTAATTCTAACAGAATAGTACTAGGCCTAGGCTGGATAGAGAAGCTTGTCCTGACATAGACCTAGGCCTAGCTCGGTTTAGATAGTACATGCCGTTTATTAATAATAGGATAGGCCCTAGGCCTAACTAAAACTAATAGGCTTTGACTAGGCTAATAACTTTTAATTTATAACAGACAGTCAATGTTAAGCTTTCGTCTAACAAAAATTAAAATTACCTTAACAGTTTATAGTTCCGTATGTACAGTATTCCTGTCTAAATTTCCCGTGGCGCTGGTACGAGCTTGATTAGGCTAGGCTTAGTTCCAAATCAGCCGTCTAGCCTAGACCTAGGCTACGCCGTTCAGGTCAACCACGAATGCAAGGTCACGCAATTTATTAGACACTACTACTACTAGCCTAGCAAAGCGACGCGTTTTCGACCTCCTCCAAAATCACATCCAATATCGCGTCGACTTGGAGTCAATTAGAGCATTTGCATCAATATAGTCTTCCAGTAGTATACGTACTAAACAAAGATGTATAAACTAATTATTTATACAACAATAATAAAGCATCACACATCCACCATCATTTACTCCTTTCCTCTGATCTTTAAACGTGCGTTTGGAAGCAGGCAGCGAGAAAGAACTACAACTAGGCCTAGCTTAGCTGCCCAAGTGAAAGTTGTTTACGAATACGAACTCCCTAGGCTGATGTAATTTTGTTGATTTGGCGATAATCAGGAAGCATTGAAATGTGTCACAACACTACGAAACTCGTCAGATTTGACCCGACACGGAGTGGTTTTTGGAATTGTTTACCTCAACAACAACAACAAATATTAGATAGAAAAAGTAAAATAATATAATACAATTATACCAAATGGTCTGGGTAAAGTATGAAAAGATTCAAAGTTTTAAAATAGACCTAGCTTACATATCATTTTCCATGATTCCAATCAAAAATAAATTTTAAGATAAAATACATTACAGGGGCGCCTAGGCATATACAAACCTGTCTCTTATACACATCTAGTGGGGGCAGATCGATATAATCCACCGCAGGGAGTCCGGGAGCTTTCCCCTGCGAACCTTTGAGGCGTTTTGTCGATCATTTTTTTCTTTTTTTTTTCTCTCTTTGTTTTCTTTTTTTTACCTTCCAAATGGGGGAGGGTGGCCTGCCCGTCCCTTTTCCCCAATCCACCCTGTATTAAGAGTTCAATAGCGTCTCAGGCACTGTGACCACTAGGGGCCTACTTGGTATCTATCCAAAGATATTAACTTTTTATTAAATCTTTAGATTTTTGGAATGGTTTGGAATTTTTATTTATTTTTTTCTAAATAGGCCTAAGTGAACAAGTAGGCTGCCAATGACCTTATAACACCTTAATGACAGTTGTGAATGAGGGTTGTTTATTTGTTCAAAAAGACATATAAGCTTTATGATACCGTAGTCATTTTAATCATTTTCCAAAAATAACAAGGTGCATTTTTAAGCTAAATCTCTTGATATGCTGTTTGCTTCGGTACGTAGAGTAGAAAAGTTGAGGAACAATATTGCACCTAGATGCGAGGAGATCTCGCACCGAGTCAGTGGCCAGCTGCTGGGACAGTCCCACACAATTGTTCTAATGGTCCACAAATAATGGGTCCACATTTTTAAAAATGGGTCCAAATTATGCAATTTTATGCAAAATGAGTCCAGATTTCTCATATTTAGCCTAATGAAATGGGTAATTATTTTAGAAAATTAATGTGTCCAGAAAAATAAACGCCTTTTTTCTAATGATGTAAGCATAGGCCTATTATGAGTTATGCTACTGAAATATTTTCTGTGTAATACAAATAAAATAAAGGCAATTGGCCCGGCTGTCATTTTGTTATATGCTTTTAATTCAGATAAGACATTCTATTTGTCTGGACAATGATTTGTTTTCAAATACTTTGCTGCCAACGTACTGTCAACCAACAAGTGTAGTTTCACTTGTTTTGAAGACCCCAACCCCCACCTAATAAATCCCCCCCCCATGTTCCACTTTGTTACGTTTTACACCTTGATAGTTGACTAAGATGATTGAAAAAAGAAACAAACTTATAACAGTTCCATATACTGATTAGCCAATCTTAATATTTTTTATTAGGTCTCCCATTCTTCTTGCTGTACTGGAACATTGTCTGGGGAACACCTGAATCAAGATAAACTTAATTATTAATCAAAAAAAGCTACCGGGATCGAGCATGTGCTTTACTTAAGGCCTACATGTCTCTTTTTTAAACTTCTAATGTAGGCCTATTATTCTTTTTAAAATTGAAATACCTATGACATTCAGATGCCCATCCACCCAAAAAACTAATTATTTCCAGTGCTCTTTTCAGGTCTTCTGAGGCCAACCACTGGGCGCGCAGATCATAAGGAGTGTGGACTGTCTCTTATACACATCTAGATGTGTATAAGAGACAGGGCCTAGGCTGGATAGAGAAGCTTGTCCTGACATAGACCTAGGCCTAGCTCGGTTTAGATAGTACATGCCGTTTATTAATAATAGGATAGGCCTAACTAAAACTAATAGGCCTTGACTAGCCAACTTTTATATTTTTTTTTAGGTCTCACAGATGAAGGGTTTTTTTTTTTTTTTTTTGTTTTTTTTTTGTTTTGGCTCCCATTCTTCTTGCTGTACTGGAACATTGTCTGGGGAACACCTAAATCAAGATAAACTTAATTATTAATCAAAAAAGGCTACCGGGATCGAGCATGTGCTTTACTTAAGGCCTATATGTCTCTTTTTTAAACTTCTAATGTAGGCCTATTATTCTTTTAAAAATTGAAATACCTATGACATTCAGATGCCCATCCACCCAAAAAACTAATTATTTCCAGTGCTCTTTTCAGGTCTTCTGAGGCCAACCACTGGGCGCGCAGATCATAAGGAGTGTGGACGCCTTTTTTGGTCCCAGTTTTCGACAGCAATGTAATTTAAGGAGTATTTGTAAGTCAAGAAGATGCCTTAAAATTGTTGAAATGAACTGCATCAACAGAGAATGAATGAACGAACGAACGCTGAGCCAGAGAGCATCTCATCTCATGGGTGTATGCAAGGGGGAGGGGGTGGGGTCTGGAAGGTCGTACGAATTTTCAAAGCTCCACATTTTTTCCAAAGACTTTTTTTTCTAGGGCCTTTTCACAATGACATAAATGTAAGAGCATTGATGAGGTACTAGCAATAAGTCCAAAGACCTTGCCAATTGCGTGACGTACTCTATCTCAATTCCAGCAATTCTGAAACTGAGCCTGCCATCCGTTTCAAGCTGGTGGCGCTGTAATCGATTTTCCTGTCTTCCACCGAAGGTCCAAAAAATTATGATCACGACCCACCAAGAAAAAAATCCTGGATACACCCCTGCCCTGCATCTTATAGCAAGACACCGACACGCACGTACGCAGGATTTTTAATAGGTGGGTGCGATTTGTGGAGAGTGGACCAAATGACTGGGGGCTGCAGGTTCTTGCTGGGGTTGAGTGGGCGAAGCCACCTGGCGCTCAGACATTTTTGATAATTTGAGGTCTTAATTGATTCTGAAGATGCAATATCAACAGTATTAAACGATTTTTCAGTGATAGATTCAGGAAATGAGTTGGGAAGGGCCAGGGAAGGAAATTTATAATTATGGTACACCTAAAACCGGGTCGGAAATGGCACTCTGAAGATTCGTCAATAACTAAGCCCTAGCTTGTACGACGAATTAGAGGCAGTCCTTAGCGGAAACTGCTCTGATTGGTCATGGCGGATCGATTTCTGGAACGTGCGAGAGTGTCTTGAATTTTTATCCCTGAAAATGTGGATTTTTCACTGTAAAAACAGCGTGGAGCATTTAAACACAAAGCTCCACGCAAAGTTGTCCCGTTTTAAAAGCTAAACGTGTTTAGGTCCGGCCTAATGTGTTTCTGACGTGTCTAGCATTAGATGTGCTTAGGTATTTGACATCATGACGTCAAATACATCCTAAATACATTAAGCTGTCATTTCCGGCCATCTCGGTACTATTTCCTCATTGTATAACAATGTATAACAACTTGTGTTTTATTTTCTACGTTACATCACAGAGATTAATTAGATCTCTGAAAACCGCTGATAACAGATTGAGAAATTGTTGGCGCTTATTTTGGCTATGGTCATGCGGATGATGAATTCTTTTCTGGCCACCTAGAGCTACCATTTCTTGACTGTCCCCCACCTTCCAAAACAGATCTGTTCCCTTAGGGCTAACGCTTCGCAAATGCCACTTTCAATATTTCTTTTATATCCATTTTAAAAATTGTACAGATTTCATCTTTTTGTCACCTGTCTCTATTGTGTTTGGATTGGTTCTGTTTTTCTGGTCGTCTCGCTCAGTGACGGCTACGTGGTGGCTACGGTCGGGAAGGAAAACATATCTCCCCTAAAATGTTACCTTTCCCTCACTTCGCCGGTCATTTGACTATAGAGGGCATAGACTAGAGTGGACGTCATACAGGTAAACATAATCCTACAAATCGGATCGGCGAGGTGTGAACAAACTTAATTAATTTTGTGTGTTTGGTTTTCGGTGGTTCTCTGGTGCCTTTGGGGTCAGTATTAAGAATGACCGGGTTTTGGACCCAAACTGGCTACCTTATACGCCGAAATGTTTTAATGAAGTGGAGAAACAAGCGGGAACTATTTCAGGTAAAGAATTAGTAAAGTGTTTTTTCTCTCTTGACACAGATAAGGCTCGGATAAGGCCTTTTTCATGAATCGGTAGACATCTTGGACATCTTGAAGTGATGACAAGCATTGCGAATCAGCGGTGCGTAACCAACAGAAATAAGATAAGCTTTTGGGCTGATTTTTGGACATCATGTTATTTAAAAAATCATAACTCCATAACGGGGCGTCGTATCCAAAAAACCTTTCCAGCAAAATGTTCTTAACAGACTAGTTTACACCACTATATGATTGAAAAATGTTTTTGACCTCTGAAATCAAGATGGAAAAAGAAAAGCCTATCTAAGTAGTGTATTAAGGTCTAGGCCCTGCATTCAGTGCCGTAGTAGTAGTAGTAGTACTCAGTCAGAGGCCTAGGCCTAGTAATATTCAGGACTAGCATTGTTTTAGTTACCATATGAGAGTTTCCTGTGTTAAAAACATGATTTACTATACTATACTTCTTTATAAAACATAACTTGTTATAATAAGAAAAATCTGTATATTATCGGTACCTGGAACAGTACCAACACGAAAGTACTATGCTACTGCACTGTAATGCCGGGATAGGCCTAATTTAATTTAATACACTACTTAGATAGGCTTTTCTTTTTCCATCCCGATTTCAGAGGTCAAAAACATTTTTCAATTTTTTTTAATCATATAGTGGTGTAGACTAGTCTTTTAAGAACATTTTGCTGGAAAAATGTTTTGGATACGACGCCCCGTTATGGAGTTATGGTTTTTTTAAATAACATGATATCAGATAATCAGCCCAAAAGCTTATCTTATTTCTGTTGGTTACGCACCACTGATTCGCAATATTTATCATCACTTCAAGATGTCTACCGATTCATGAAAAAGGCCAGACAGACACCAGCCAGGTGTAGCTTGCCTCTTATGCTAGACCTATATTATAACTAAGACATTTTTGTTAATATTGTAATTTGTATGTTTTCAGCAAATTTCCTAATTTTTTGTAGGACTAAAACATTGATAATATAGAGCCTAGGGTTGGCCTATGGCTATCTTTTTTGTTATAATCGTGAAGTCTACCAAACTAGGCTATTATGTAGGTCATGATCGCTGTATAAGTATGGCCTGCGCAGAGAAAATAAGGGCCAGTTTGTTAGGTTAATTTTGCAAACTAAAGAGGCGGGCTTAAATTTGGTATAGGTATAGAGACCCTCCCACCTCCCGAGAACTGTACCCATGCCATTGTGAGAGACTATAGTATTGCCTAGGCCTACTCTACTTCTCCAGAGCCAGGTTATGCCTACCTTGACTAGCCTAGATTGGCATAGGCTATTAAAATACTGTAGAACCCCTCCTTTGGAACACCCCTATTCAAGGGACACCTCTATTGAGGGAACACTTTCTGAGTGTGTAAATTGGTCAAATCAGTATCAATTTAACCCCTATTAAGGGGACACTTTCTTTTTCATTGTATCAAAACAACTATAGTCACAAAATACAAACAAAATATATATTTTGACGCCTTTTGAGCAATAAACATCAAAGCAGAATTTTCCCGCTTAATCTGTAAAATGGACATTGGAATGCCTAGTGCATGTGTTATTTGTATAAATAAAATCTTGTCAATTTTCAAATTTAAACACTGAGATTACTTGTTTTGTGTATTTTGGTATTGTAGGCTAATGTACAGCTGCATACCTGATTTTTACTTAAGAAAGCTTAATATTTTACAAAAGAATATTTGACTAATATTGCACACGAATCAAGAAATAATTAATATCTTGAACATAGGCCTATACCACTTTTTGTAGTTACAATTACATATCACTTAATTTCATATCATAAATGACTTAGTTTTTGCATTGCAAATTATTGATTATAATTGTCATAATTCAACTGTGCTCATTCTTACATCAATTAAAATAAAGTTATAAAGCATCTGTCTTCATTGTACAAAAACATTTAAAGGGACAATTCCATGTTTTTGGATTGTGTCCCTGACACCCCTATTTTAAGGGGATACTCTTTTTAGTTTTGAAGGTTCCCCGTAATAGGGGTTCCACTGTATAAGAAAAAAAATGGTTGTCCTACAAGTAGACAGACATTGAATTGATCTCAAAAGAATTCCTTAACTTACATAGTAAATATTGTTAGATTATCACCCTGCCCGCTTTAAAAATTGGCAAAAAATTTTGATTTGTGAATAAAAAATTTTTTTTTTTTATTTGTGTATTTATTCAAAAGAAAGCAACGTCTGTTGGTTCCAAAAGAGAAACAGTAGTTAAAAACAAAATAAATAAAAAAAAACTAAAAAAAAAAAAAAAAACATTTTAAAAAAGGCCTCCGGCCCGCATAAAAAAAAATGGGTAGTAATCTAATAATTGTGTCTATGTGCCCTTATACCACGTGTTAGACCTATCTAAAATTGTGACCCAATTATAGCTGAATTGTATTTGATTTTTCCCTCTCAGGTACCTTTCTAAAGTCATGGCATCTAATCTGAAAAAAAGTGACATTGATGAGATCACCAACTCGCTTTTATCAAATCAAAGTTTTCTGAATATTGTCCAAAATCTGTCCCGTGGTGAAGGTAACACAGCTGGTCACATTCAGACACCTACTAGAAGAATAGAACCAAGGCACCAAACAGTTAACGATGAAATGAGGCGGCTATTCACACCAACAATGAATAGAAGACAGGTTCCTTTGAATAATCCAAGAGAGAGAAGAAACGATAGATCCAGATCAAGATCAAGATCAGGATCAAGATCAAAATCGAATGTTTCACACCAACAATACATTTTTAAAGAGGTTTTATTGTTAGATAAGCACAAGTGTGATCGTGTGCCAAGACCACCGCAACTGTCAAAACTTGATGAAAATGGTAAGTCACATCATCATTCAGCTTGGTTAAGGAACATGTCAAGTTTCTAGGGTATTTGACTATATTATGGGTTTTTTTCCTTGCCATTAAATTGACTAACATACTTTATTTGTAAAATTATTTCATAGGTCTTGTTTATCATTGTGTTGCTTTTGAACAAGACATGTCAAGTGATGATGTGTACTGTAAACTGGAAAACCTATTTTCGGATGTACTGAATACTGAAAATAATAACAGTCCAATTAGGTAAGTTACACTGAATTATTTCTTATAAATTGGTGTCAGTAAAGTTGAAGTTAATATGTAATGTAACTCTACATAAAATTCTGAAAATGCACAGTATTGTGTTTGAATAAATATTTATTTATTTGTTTTTATGTTTCTTATTCAATAAATTTGTTTAAAGTCCGAATTTATATGGTGCCTTTGACATTCTTGAGAATATACAAAGGTGCAGGCATCAGAATATCCCTGGTCAATGGATACTTAGTTGGCAAACTAGCACATTGATCTATTTATATTGCTATTTGATCCTGTTTATTGATATCCCCATGCGACTCTTTTTTCTTAATTTATAACAAAATTATTTTTAGACTCCTAAAAAAAAATTAAAACTTTGGTTGGATAATTATGTTATAGTGTTGCAGCATTTTTTTGCAGGAAATATTTCTTGTTTTTTACATTTTTTAAAGGAACATTGTTGTGGATTTTACACCAAAATATAGATTGGGCCTGATGCTACATGATCTGCCATAAAATTACCTAGAAATTTAAAAAAGAATGGAGTTATTTTATTTTGATATAGTTTAACAATGGTTTTCTATCAATAAAACTGTCAAAAGTAAAAGCTAAGACGTCATTTTATTGTACACTATCAATTTTAAAATAGAAACAGTCCATTCGGGTCAATATATTTCATGGTTCATAAAAACAGTTAACAGTCAGTCAAAGCCTACCTGAAAAATCTTGAGCAAAATAATTTGTTGAGACATTTGCATGAAGTGCCTCTATATGCAAAGCTTATCCTTATGCCAGATGTTCTTTTTGCCATCATCAATCACATTTAATAATTTCTTTATTATTTTCATATGATATTTGTAGGTTTGAATTTATGATTGGAGTGGGTTCACATTTAAGCAAGGCTCGGCTCTCAGACAGTCAAGGAATGAGTGCAGAAAATCTGCATCGTTTATATGCAAACAACAAAAAAATATATCTTTTGCCGTCGAGGGATATAGCCCTTAAAACCGAGATTAGTGACTATTTATTACCATCCACAGACACCCCAGATGAAACTGATAGCACTGAAGATGAGGTAAACATAAGACAATACTAATTTTTCTCTTGTCTAATTAAGCACTGTGGAATCATGGTTTGTCGGTCAGGATTAGGATTGCACTATCAAAATGGGAAAAAGCTTACCCTTAATTTTCATAGTACAGTATTTGGTTGGTTTGACATTTACAAACACATAGTTGTCTTTCTTTTGGCATGTGTACAGTATATGGTACCTTCGATGCATGACTACCAAGTTTTAATTGTGAATTTCTCAAATTAGTACAGTATGAGAATATTCTAACAGTAATAATGGTCATATTTTGTATATTGTCTTAAAAAAAGAATTGTCAAATATCAGAAACCAATATAAATTTACAGAACACACAAGCTCCAGATATTTTTTTTTTCTTTTCTCTTGTAATGTAAAATTACTTTGGTGGTTATCTATTTTATCGAAGGAACAAGCAACATAATAACATCTTAAATATGTTTGCATGCCATAGAATTGTTTTATGAATATCCCATTTTTATGATTGTTTTTTCAGGATAAAGCTAACATACTGTATTATTTGTTTCTTTATTTCAGATTTTAACAGAATGTGTGAATTGCCACCATCTTGTTTCTTCAAATGAACACCAATGCAATGGTGGTGGGTCAAGTCATGATATGGCATGTACTTCAAAATCATTGGCAAATGAAGAAGATATAGATTTTGGTGACAAAAATGTTGTAAAACAGAAATTACATGACATGTTCCCAAACATGTCAAATGAGTGCTTCGAACGTGCTTTTCTTCTTGCAAGAGATTTTAATGAAGCCATTGACATTCTCACCAACAAATCAGATATTTCAAAGGAGACTTTGATTAACTCATTCAGAAAACTGCGTACTGAAGAGTTAGAACATTTAACAATTAGACGTTCTAATGTATGGAGAGATGGTCTACTGTTTTACAAGAAGTCATTAGCTCAGAAAAGAATGTTGGTGAATAAACTATGTGTGGAATTTGTGCAAGAAGATGGAGTTGATGGTGGTGCATTAACTGTTGATTTTTTTGACCAATTTTTTTTGGCATCATTGTCAGAATTATTTGAAAAAACTGATATAGGGTACATTCCAAAGCGTTCTGGTGCAAACCCTGTCCCCTTTAAGATACTTGGTGTGGCAGTTGCACACAGCATAATGCAAGGTGGACCACCTTTCAAGTTTCTTCCCATGTGGTGCTGTTCACAGATTGGAGGGAAATCTGAAGAAGTGGTATCTTCCATGCTATCCGGGCTATCTCACACCGAAATAATACCTTTCAATGCAGGAACTAGTAATCTAATTTCATTTTTAAATGGGTTAAATGCTTGCAAGAGCACAGAGGCAATAGACAAGCTTATCGACGACTCGGCAGAAGGACCTGCTTATGAACAGTTGGTAAATTCCTCACAATGGCCAGTAGATACCAAGATTGAATACAAGAATGTGGAGGTTTTGAAGAACATGCTAATATGGGAAGAGGTTGTAAGCAAGCGAGAGAAACAACTGCAGGCTATCAAGGATGGCCTTGCATTTGCTGGTCTATTGCCTCTTATGGAAATGTGTGATACAGAAATGTGTAGCAGCATATTGCTTTTTGAAGATGTCAAGATGACAAAGGACTTGATGATGGACATTGTTCAATGGGATTCATTAGCAAATATTAAGGAGAAGGAATGGTTGAAGGAGTTAATCAGTGAGCTTTCTTGCAAGGACTTATCACACATGCTCAAATTCTGCACCAGCTATTCAAAATATGACCATCTGAGTAAGCCAATGATATATCTGGAACAAAAAGAAGGCAAAGTATTGCCAGAGTCTTCAGTGTGCACAACTACTCTTTTCTTGCCTGTAGGATATACTACAAAGGAGAAATTTAAAGAATGTATGGAAATGGCATTACAAAATGGCCATGAAGGTTTTGGCATGGCATGAGTATGGGGTTCACAACAATCAAACAGATTCTTTGGCCACTCTTCAACAAATTGTATACCCTCATGTTTAATGGTAATTTTTTTTTGCTTTCTTTGTGTTTTTCTGGTAATTATAGCATAAATAAGAAATAAACAGTGCATAGTTATTTGCAAATGATACCACATACTTCCATGTTCATAATCATTTGGCACCAACATTTTGTTTTTGTAATATAACAGAGTCCGAAATACAGTATTGCCAACATTATGGTTAAGTATGCGTGTCATACAATAATAATAATAATTTAAAAAATGGTGTAATACTAAAAAAAAAAAAACAATATAAAACAAGGAATTAAGCAAGTGTTTTCTGATGTTATGTTAATTTGGTACACAGTAAAATGAAGCTGATAATTCTAGAAAAGATTGTCAAACTGTCTGCCTGGTGCAACTGCTTGTGGAGATGTAGTTACATGTTGAAGTCAAACTATTCAATATCTTTAGGCTAATGGTCCATTTTGTCAATATATTACTAAAACAGATTTACAGAAAACAAATTTATAACAAACCCATCTCTAAAGTCAGTGGTTGCTAAATTTTAAGAATGCTGTGATTATTACCTTTGGCCCTGATTTTTTTTTTTACATTTCAAAAGAGGTTCACACCAATCAACCAGATTCTTTGGCCACTCTTCAACAAATTGTATACCCTCATGTTTAATGGTAATTTTTTTTGCTTTCTTTGTGTTTTTCTGGTAATTATAGCATAAATAAGAAATAAACAGTGCATAGTTATTTGCAAATGATACCACATACTTCCATGTTCATAATCATTTGGCACCAACATTTTGTTTTTGTAATATAACAGTCAGAAATACAGTATTGCCAACATTATGGTTAAGTATGCATGTCATACAATTATAATAATTTTTTTAAATGGTGTAATGCTAAAAAAAGAAAAATATTAAACAAGGAATTAAGCAAGTGTTTTCTCATGTTATGATTAATGGTATACAGTAAAATGAAGGTGATAATGTATAGGTATTTTGTAAGGGCATTCCATGTACTATTATCTTTAAAAAGAGAATGTACTGTATGTGATTTAAAACCCTTTGAGTTTTGGAGTGCTGAACAGCAAGTTACTTATACAGTAGGTAGAACTACACCAGTCTTATATTCCAAATTTTAATTAGATGTTATTCTAATCCTCACATAACATCAAATCAGAATTAAGAAAATGATAAGACTGGTGCAACAATAGCAGGTTGACTGTAGAGCCAGAGTATGTTATCTGGGTGGTATACTAGGCTATACAAAGACAAATGTATCTGTCTTTACATCAGATTCTAGTCAAAAAGATTTTTATTTCTTGTGTTTTTTTATAAAGTACACTACAGTAATTCTGTGTTTACATTACTCTGTTGCAGTATAGTATTTTAAATTCTCTTGTTGTTTACAACAAGTATTGATTCATGTGAAGTTAATGAAGGTATACTGTACCTTAAGAGCAGGTAATTTAGATCAAAATGTTTTTTGTAATCTTTATATTGGTTTCAAGAAACATGAATTTTGATGAATGTCAACAATGGTTAGCTTGGTTTGATTTTCACCAGCTATTCAAAATATGGCCCATCTGAGTAAGCCAATGATATATCTGGCACAAAAAGAAGGCAAAGTATTGCCAGAGTCTTCAGTGTGCACAACTACTCTTTTCTTGCCTGTAGGATATACTACTAGAGGAGAAATTTAAAGAATGTATGGAAATGGCACAGTAGAGAATTGTCTATGGTATTCTTTGTCTATAGTGCAGAGGCATACTGTACTGTTGATCAAACAAAAATGGATCCGCTATTGTTTGCGATAATGTTTGTATGACATCCATTGACTCTCTGGCCACCATTTTAAATTTAATGGTAATCATTTCTTTCTGGTATATGTTGCGTAACAAGAAATTAACCGTACATGGTCATTTTGCAAATGATTTCACATGCTAAAAAAACATAGAAAAACAGTGTTGTCAAGATTTTGAAGTATTCGTGTTGTACAATAATTAAAAATAAACAACATAATGCTACAAAAATATAGTAAAATGAAAATTATATTTTTGCAAGGGCTTTTGGTGAATTTTTTTTTTATTTAAAAAGAAGAAAGATTTAAAAAGAAGCAAGTATATTTATTTTATAACCATTAATATTTAATTTTGAAAACTTTGTGGGCCCAACTTTTGCAGTGCTGAACAGCACTGTTACACACTAACACAGACAGTAGGTAGACTGGTGTAGCAACAGTGTATGATGTATATAATAGAGCCCTAGATTGTTATCTGGTTGTTATAGTTACAAAGATGTTGCAAATGCCTTTTACTGTACATTACATTTTTTTTATATCATTTTGTTAAAAAATTGTTCTGTTTCCAGTGTTTTAGAAAAAAAAAATTTCAATCCTTTTTTTATATTACAGTACTGTATTGCAGTACAGTATTTTAATTTCCTTTTCAAGTATTGATTCATGTGATGATGCCATGTGTTTATAAAAGTATACTGTACTGTGAAAGTAATATACTGTAATAGGATGGTTATTTGTAAGGATATTAAGATGATGTATTCTAATAATTTTCTATTGTTCAAGGCACAATAGTGAATTTTTCCTGTTACAATTTTGTTAATGATCTCTAAAGTCAGTGGTTGCTGAATATGATTGATTTGTTGATTAAATGTGATTATCACCTTCGGCCCCAATTTCAAAAGCTAAAATTGGCAAGAGACATAAAAAAAAGTCTCTTGCCACCTTTCAACAAATTTTGCATGTTTAATGGTAAATATTTCTTCCTTTGTATTTTTATGGTACAGTATATAGCGCAAGCAAGAAATAAACAGTTTATGGTTGTTTGCAAATGATACCACATACTTCTTGCTAATAATAAACAGTTTATGGTTGTTTGCATATGATACCACATACTTCTTGCTAATAAGAAAACAGTACTGTATTGCAGTGCATGTTGTACAATATTGTAGCAGTATCAAATCAAATGCCATATAAATATATTATATAGTGAAATGTAAAATGACAACTCTATATGTACTTTTCAAGGGCATTTGGTGTATTGTATTAATATAAATTATTAAAAAATTAATATTTATTTTTGGAAACTAGTTTTGTGGGCCTTGAAGTTTTGCAGTGTTGAACAGCAAGTTACACACTATTTAATTTAACTGGATGTTATTTGTTAATCTAATCCTCACATGCAATTACAATCAATCATGCAATCAGAATTAGAAATTCATAAGACTGGTGTAACCGTAATTTTTACATTAGAATTTAGTAAAAGATTCTTTTTTATCTGTTTTAAAATCTTTTTCTGCTTCTAGCATGTTTCAGAAATACAGTATGCAAATTCATTTTTACAACTGCATTTCATTGTTCAAGGCATAATATTAAAATAGTGAATAGTTTTTGTTACAGTTTATGTAGTTTAGGGGTCGTTCACAATTATCAACATTTTCACAAGTGTACCAATAGTACTCTTTTTCGGTATCCACTTCCTTCTAGGATTAGAAATCACAGAACTGATTCTCTCAACACAAGAAACAAAAAGGTGGTGTAAGAATATCTTGTGAAACATTTGCCTCTTCTATCCTTCTAAAAATAACACTGAATATTATAAAATGTTCATATTTGCAAGTCTAATATGCCAATGTTCCAGTATATTTATGTTTGTATCTGTGCTTGACCGAGAAGTCCTGACATCCTTGCAATTGTATAGGCAGTAAATCCATTTTGTTCAAATTCTGTCTACCCCTCCCCCTAGCATACTGTTTGTACACTTGTGAAATTGTTGATAATGTTGAATGACCCCTTAGAGAAGGTTTGTATCAACTAAGGTTGGCTTGGTAGTTGAATAAAAAAAAAAAAGAGAAACCATGTTTTGAAGGTTCTTATTTATTGCAGCTGTCAGAAATCCCTACATATTTAGACATAACTCATGGATGCAACATTCTTTCCACTATTGTAACTAAATTGCAGTAAACTTCTACACATTGGTCTGTATCTATAATATTAGAAGTTGATGCATACTCTTGTATATAGTTTTCTTGAGCTTCACTCAATGGCAATTGTATATACGGTACAACAATTTCATCATCATCACCTATAACTTGGGGACCATCCTCATCAATTCCATAACTGTAATTAATCATTTCATTGAATTCATCTGGGTTACTAACTGCATAGTTACTTAATCCTATGTGCCAAAGTTGATTTGGTGAAAGGTTATGCTCACTGCTCATAGGATGGTCATTCCAATTACCTGCCATCTCTGACAATGCATTATTAATGACATTCAAGAAGACTGAATGAAGACAGTATAAATGTATTTCATACAATGGATCAAGTACTCCCAAATGTTCCATGTAATAGAATATGCCTCGGAATTGTTTGACTACAGTATTTTTTACATCTAGCCACAATCGTTCGATCCTCTGATTGTGAACTGATGAACCTGTTATCATGCTCCCACGATTCAAACCTCGATTACACAGCATAAATTGAGCCACAAGAACGTTCTCTCCTCCCTTATCAGATCTAACTCGTAATGGTAGGCCATGTTTCTGAACAGCTTCTTCAAAGAGCTTTAAAACACTGTCTGCTCTATTGTTAGTGTAACATTTCAGGTATACGATTTTGCGGGAATACCCATCAATTCCTCCAAAGACCACAAAATTCCAACGTATCAATTTATGGTGGCCATCAATATGCCTGTAAGAAAATTAATTAAAAAAAATGCTTATTCACTATTAGATTTTACTGGGGAAGTTGACCAAGAGATGTAGTTAACAACTTTTAAGAAAAGTACAGCTTCCGGGAATAACAAATTAATTTTTTAAATATTTGTATTTATTTTTTTTTTGTATGTTAACAGCATTATGGTCCACAAGTATCGACATGGCTGCCGTGCTCACTTAGCGATTAAAAAGAAAGCAATATCTGTTCGAAAGAGAAAAATTAAAAACAAAAATTTTAAAAAATAAATGAAATATAAGAAAACCTGTTAAAAATTTTAAAAAGCAGGCCTGCATCACTAAAAGAATAAACAGCGTGAAAATCTAATAATTTTTTCTATGTGCACTAAAAATATTTTTTAGAAAAGGCTTTCTGAAATAATCTATACTGTAAATTATAATCCAATGTAATAAATCTGTTAATTTTTTTGACTCAACATTAAACCACGAATGCCAGTTATTAAAAAAAAAAGCAGAAAATCCACTGACCACAAGCTATTTGGACTTGCAACATTGTACATCCTCCTTATAACAGATCTGGCTCTCCTTAACGATCTATTGACAGGGTCAACTTCCATTATCGCATCACGAATGCGATACCTTTGTACATGAATACCTCTTCTTCTTAGTCCGCCAATAACGAATGTTTCCCCAGCATCAGGCAACACATTCAGTATTAGTCGGATTTCATTGCAAAGTTCATCCATTGAAATTTCAGAATACCAATTTCTAGTGAAGTTTGGTTGGGAAACAGGCAAATCATATTCTCTACGTCTTCTGCGTAGTGTATCCACAGAAATCCCAAGATGATATGCTACAATTTTCCAACTACGAAATATCTCAAAATATTGTTGAATGTCCTCTCTCCTAATTACAACTCTTGGCCTTCCTACAGAAGTTTCTTCAGTCTGGTGGGTATGAGTTGAATAACCTCTAGGATTAAAAATCACATGATTGATTCTCTCATCATAAGAAACAAAAAGATGGTTTATTTCCGATGACAGACCTGTAAGTGGTGTAACAATATCTTGTGAAATATTTGCCTCTTCTAACCTTCTCAAAAGAACACTGAACAAAATGTTCATATTTTCAAGTCTAATATGCCAATGTTCCAGTATATTTATATTTGTAGAAGAAAGGGCACTCTGTGCTTGACCAAGAAGTCCTGACATATTTGCAATTACAGACAGTAAATCCATTTTGTTCAAATTCTGAAAGATATAAAAACAAATGCAATGACATCCACTGCCATATTTTAAAAATAGTACCTTCCCTCTACAAATTCTTTCCTCCTACATTTTTAATTTTTATTAAATAGTGTATAGGCCTAGTTATTAGGGCAGGCCCTGGTCTGAGATAACTCTTTAAAATGTTTAAAATATTTTAAATTTGGTTAGCACAGGCCTAGGCCTAACACTAGGCCTGGGACAAGTTTGTTTGTGTCAAGTTCGTTTTGCTACTCTAATCTAGGCATAGGCCTAGGCCCCCTACCCTAGGCCGCCTATGCAAGGCCTAGTTTCCGCAGTAACATTGTGAACTCATATATAAATATTTGAGGTTTACATTGCACAAGGTCGAACATACAAAAAACAACTTTAAAAAATTAAATTTAAGGATTCTAATACAGTATTCCAAAATAATAACTAAAGAAGTGGTACCTTACGAAAAACGTCCAATTTTTACTTACACGTCACTGCAGCCAAGTTAATTTACATACCCTTCGTTTCGAATAGTAGGCCTACTCAGCAGGGGGAGTAAGTATTATTGATAGAATTTTGAGACACGATGATTGGTGACCCTTTGAATGAATGGTTGAGCCCCGTCACGCTTGGCTAGCTAGTTTTGATTTTCATTTTGCATGTGAAGTTGTTGTTGTAAAATGTAATTCAAACCAGTCATGCTTGTCTAGTTTTTGATTAACGTTTTGGGAACAGAATTTGGAGGAGGGCGTTTGAACAAGTTTTGAATTTGAATTACATTTTAAAGAAATTAGAACTACATTTTGGAAGATTTGAACTACGTTTTGAAAAATTAGAACTTCATTTTGGGAAACTAGATCTACATTTTGAGAAATTTACGCCTACGTTTGGATAAATCAGACATTGAATTTTGCAATTACATTTTGATTTTAACATGGACTTTTGCTGCGTATGGCACCCCATAGAGCCAGAGAGCATCTCATCTCATGGGTGTATGCAAGGGGGAGGGGGTGGGGTCTGGAAAGTCGTACGAATTTTCAAAGCTCCACATTTTTTCCAAAGACTTTTTTTTCTAGGGCCTTTTCACAATGACATAAATGTAAGAGCATTGATGAGGTACTAGCAATGAGTCCAAAGTCCTTGCCAATTGCGTGACGTACTCTATCTCAATTCCAGCAATTCTGAAACTGAGCCTGCCATCCGCTTCAAGTTGGTGGCGCTGTAATCGATTTTCCTGTCTTCCACCGAAGGTCCAAAAAATTATGATCACGACCCACCCAGAAAAAAATCCTGGATACACCCCTGCCCTGCATCTTATAGCAAGACACCGACACCCACGTACGCAGGATTTTTAATAGGTGGGTGCGATTTGTGGAGAGTGGACCAAATGACTGGGGGATGCAGGTTCTTGCTGGGGTTGAGTGGGCGAAGCCACCTGGCGCTCAGACATTTTTGATAATTTGAGGTCTTAATTGATTCTGAAGATGTAATAATATGAACAGTATTAAACGGTTTTTCAGTGATAGATTCAGGAAATGAGTGGGGAAGGGCCAGGGAAGGAAATTTATAATTATGGTACACCTAAAACCGGGTCGGAAATGGCACTCTGAAGATTCGTCAATAACTAAGCCCTAGCTTGTACGACGAATTAGAGGCAGTCCTTAGCGGAAACTGCTCTGATTGGTCATGGAGTTTTGGCGGATCGATTTCTGGAAGGTGCGAGAGTATCTTGAATTTTTATCCCTGAAAATGTGGATTTTCACTGTAAAAACAGCGTGAAGCATTTAAACACAAAGCTCCACGCAAAGTCCCGTTTTAAAAGCTAAACCTGTTTAGGTCCGGCCTAATGTGTTTCTGACGTGTCTAGCATTAGATGTGCTTAGGTATTTGACATCATGACGTCAAATACCGAAGCACATTTAATGCTGAACACGTCAAGATCCTAAATACATTAAGCTCTGTCATTTCCGGCCATCTCGGTATTATTTCCTCATTGTATAACAATGTATAACAACTTGTGTTTTATTTTCTACGTTACATCACAGAGATTAATTAGATCTCTAAAAACCGCTGATAACAGATTGAGAAATTTTTGGCTCTTATTTCGGATGATGAATTCTTTTCTGGCCATCTAGAGGTACCATTTCTTAAAAGTTCTTGACTGTCCCCCACCTTCCAAAACAGATCTGTTCCCTTAGGGCTAACGTTTTGCAAATGCCACTTTCAATATTTCTTTTATATCCATTTTAAAAATTGTACAGATTTCATCTTTTTGTCACCTGTCTCTATTGTCTGTATTGTGTTTGGATTGGTTCTGTTTTTCTGGTCGTCTCGTTCAGTGACGGCTACGTGGTGGGTGCTGTCGGCTATGGAAAACATCTTCCTTAAAATTTTACCTTTTACCTTTCCCCTCACTTCCCCAGATTTCAGACGCTGGCGCCACCACTGGTCTGTTTCATCTTAAGTAAATGCTCGAATAAGCGCAGCTCTCGAATAACTGCCGCACCAGACGTGATGTTTTTTCGTTAAGCGCCCGCTCTCGAGGGTATAATAGTACGGTATCCATGTGTAATTCAAATGTATACTGTGTTAAAATGAATAAATAAAAACACAAAAAGCATTTTTTTTTTTTTTTTTTACGATGATAGGACCTACTGAACTACGGAAAAACGTGAAATAGGTAACATGGGTACGGACAAGGAAATTTGTTTTATAAGAGCCGCTTTTCAATAAGCGCCGCTCTCAAGCGCCGCACTGAAGCCTCCAAATAACTTATAAGCGCCGCGGCGCTTATTCGAGCATTTACAGTATTTTGTCGTTTCTTAGTTTCTCTTCACTGCTGTATTCCTTCTTTTTCAGGCTGCCATCGGGGTTTTATTTTTGTATACTTTATATAAATTATATTTGTCAATTTTTTGTAATAAATGTTTCTCCGAATAGAAAAAAAAATAATCAAAATTATTTTATATGTAGTATTGTTGTATTTAATTTTGTTGAACTTTGGAATTAAATTTTGTTATTGACAAATGCTTATAAATTTTGTGATTGAAAATTATAAATAAAACGTGATGAATTTGGAGGTGAATGATACAATAAACACAATTATGATATACAGTTACTTTTCTTTTACTTTACCAGAGTATTCTTACACACTATTGAGGGCGCTGGTCATTTTTAGGCTTTGAAATTATTAGATATTATAGATATAAATTTCTTCATTATATAAATTTCTTACTATTATTTCTGTATTCTATCTTGATTGCTTAGTATTATAGGCCATCATTACATATTTATAATATCACTGTTATTAACACATAATTTTATTATACAATTTGCAATATCATTTAATGCCACTCTTGCACATATTCAGTGTATGGTATTGGGCCTATGTACACGCGTCCGCCTTATGTTACTGTATTGCATTTTCAGATCGTAGCATCTTTATTAAGAAAATACGGTCACCACATAAAGTAGTCACCAGAACCAACGAAAGAAAGACATGGCAATTATAATCTATGTGGAGATGTGATGGTTGTTTGCTAGTCTGTCCTGCCAAGCTTCACACTTTATTGATCACATCACCACCACCTACATTCAGGTGTTCACCCGTGATGTGTTTACGGCCATCAAGCTGCCCTTCTAATGATGGAACGCCAGTCGTTTGAGTATCGGGTACTGTCGACGTCTTTGGAATTCGTTTAGCATTCTATGAGTATGAAAAATGGAAAAATCACGAAAGAATCTATTGACATTAAAGAAATGTCGAAAAATATATCCAGGGTTGTGCATTTAAAGGGGGATGCTCCACGTACAATTTTTCCAGCATGCATGTTTTTAATGACTGAAATAATAACTTATTAAATTGGCCTAAACTTACATAAGACCTCTGAAAATACTTGATCAAAACCATACTCGGGTGATGGAGCCGAGGTAGCTGTTGATTCAATCATATCAACGTACAGTAGTAGCCCAGTGAAAACTTTCGGGACCAAGAAGGGGCGTCTCCTAAAAGGGGTTAGCTATACACGGTATTTCCATTCGTTTTGTGTCAAAAAGTTAAAGGCGTCACTTTAAAGGCGGGGTGTTACAAAGGAAGTATATTCTCAATTTTCCAGCAATGGCCTACCTTAGGAACACCGTCTTCCATAGAATGAGCGGATTGCTCCTCTTTCAATTTTGCTTCAATGTCACTTTCAGTTTCGCCTTCATTATATTCTTCGCTATCAGAGGATTCGGGGTCAGCGGGAGGCTGTAATAAAGTTGCACAGATGTTAGAATATGAAGCTGTTCTTAAATTGGTTTTGAAAAGTAAGCTGTAAAGACACGTGATTTTAACTGGGAGAACGACATCGCCAATTAAGTCCGGTGCATATCTTGCGGTTCTTACTTTTATTATAGGCCTACATATTATTCTTAAATTGGTTAGTAGGCCTCTGGAGGTTTACAGATTGTCAAATAGTATTTAAATGACTGTATATAAACAGGATATAATCTATCGGTCTACACCGGAAGTGTGGCAGTCCAAAAAAGTTGAGTAAGGAACGGTGATTTGGCCTCATCATTTACTTACCACATAATCTTCATCTTCACTAGATTTGTATGTGTCTGGATTGAAATCACAGCCGTCACCGGTCACTGGATCGATCACATCATCACCGCTGGTCACCGCATCATCACCACTGGTCGCTGAATTAATAACGTCACCACCACCACTTACGTTCTGGTCTTTGCTCTTTGTGTGTTCAAGTGTAAAGTAATCGTCAATCTGCTCTTTTGATGATGGAACGTCCGTTGTTGTAGTCACAAGAACTGTCGCCGACACCTTTTTCGGAATTCGTTTAGTGTTCTACAACATACAAATTGTTCCATTATCGCTTAAAAAAATTTACAGACGAAAGAATAAACCAGTAATTCATACTGTTTAATTACTGTTTTTTGTTTTTTAATTTTCAAAGCCATTTCAAAGAAAGATGACGTACATGTTCGGTTATTGAAATTTTAAATTTATTAAAAATTAAAACAATTAGGCCTAGAATTAATGCCCAAGCTCCCTGCAATACCTTGGGAAGACTGTCCAAAGAATGAGCGGATTGCTCGTCTTTTAATATTGCTTCAATGTCGCTTTCAGTTTCGCCTTCATTATATTCTTCACTGTCAGAGGATTCAGGGTCAGCAGGGGGCTGTAAAAAGATGTAGATTTAACTGATGAAAAAAATTATAATTAAAAAAACAATTGTTTTCGAAGATTATTTTCCTTTGGATCAGTACTCTTAAAGCTGTTAAGTCAATCGAGTTGAGTCAGTCTTTCTTAGATCAACAGAAAAAAAAAAAACAAAAAAAAAAAAACACAGGGGCGGATCCAGTAAGGGGCACCCCCTGATTTTTTAAAAAAAAAAAAACAGGGGCGGATCCAGTAGGGGGGGGGCACCCCCCCCCCCCGGTTTTGCTATTTTAAAAATTTCAATGCATATTAATGCTATGTGCTACTCACTATCATATTCTGAACTTGTTGTGCCCCACGTTTGAAAAATTCTGAATTCGCCCCGGAAAAATACCTATAAGCCAAGCGGTGGCTTCAGAAACTTGCCGACAGTGGGTCCGACATGTCCTATACAGAGGGGTCCGAACCAAGGGGTTGCCGACTTCGGTCAGGGTCCTGGAATAAACCTGGTAGGGTTCACGTTGGATAATTTGTATGGCCCAATTGTGCTTTTAGACCACAATATTAGGGATTGGCATAGTATAGTAT